TTCACCTTTCCTCGCGCGACGACGAGCGACGATCGTCGAATTTTCGCGACGTCTCGCGCGCGACCCGTCTCGCTCCGCCGATTGAATGATGCGGATTAATGACGGTGAGACGAGGAGGAACTTGGACGGATAAGTCCGCGATAAAGTGTCCTTTGTAGATCTACCCATCAGATACAAGTACGCCGCAGTAAATCACGCTAAACGGACGGTTTCTAATCGCTTGCGCGGCCGGCGGGATTTGAGCGGCTCGCTAATGAATTTGCTAGACGGCGGCATCGCGTTTTATAACGCGTTCACGCTCGGAGACTCCAGGAAAGAGAGAAGCGCCATCTCGCAAGCTGTAATTTTATTGTCGGCGCGAGAAACGAAAATGTACGCGCGTTTTGCAGCGCGGCGCCCGTTCCAGCAACCCAGATCTCCGCGCGATGGAAATATACCGTTAAAACGCGCCACAGACTCGCCTGCAGCCGTTACTCCTGTTCGACGAATCGTTGACTGGCAGGAATCTCCTCTCGGTTCCTCTCTTTCTGTTCCACTCACGCTGGCGATATATCGAACGGCCCGCCCGCGGATCGTTTCACCGCATACAATCTCGCGAGAAAGGATATCCGGAACGTTTACGGGTCTCGGCGATCTCGACGGTGTGCGGCCGAAAGTCTCGCCGGTGTCGCCCACCGGCGAGACTTTCGGCCCCCCGTCACTGGTCCCCCGGTAGATACGTTGTTTCAAAAGTCTCACTACAAATCTCAAATCTCAATGAATTTTCAACTATTCCTTTTTCAAACGCTCATCAGTGAATTTGTAACAAATTACACGAGCTCGATTTTCGATTAGACATTCGAGAAATTGTTTGTCCAATCAGAAATAAAAATTTCCACCAAATGATGAACAGCCTTCCATGATGCTGACTATTTCGAGAGATTTTCCATAGTTGAACAGACGACTGTCGCGGACCACGTTGGAAAATGCTTTTCCAACGTGAAAAATCAAAATGGCGGACCAAGATTTGAAAACAAACTTTTTCAAATAATTTGTCTAAGCAATCATCGTGTAAAAAAAATTTGAAAAATAATATTTGTGTACCCTTTTTTCATGTTTCAACCCATATTCTCTTTTGCACACTTACGAAATTCATAGCATTCATTTAAGCATGAGCATTAATGTTTTATCGGTCCATCAATCTCACTTACCGTATTGATAAATCGTTCTCTTTTTACAGTTTCCTACAGTGTGCTATTTTATCCTCAATCAGCTTATAATTTAAACTGATGTGTCGTCAAATAACAAAACTGTACAATTTCGACAATTTATTGAAAAATATAATTGTTTCTCCTAAGCGCATATTCGTTCTCAGCGGCCCCGAAAACCCCCCCGTATACGTATTTTTTTGCAAATTTATCTAATTTTGATATTTTCCGCTATCTCAGTCCGCCATTTTGATTTTTCATTTGGAAAAGCATTTTTCTGCGACAGTCTGTCCAACCATGGAAAATCTCCCGAAATAGTCAGTATCGTGGAACGTTTAAAAGAAAATAATTGAAGATTCATTGAGATTTGAGATTTGTACAGACTTTTGAAACAACGTATCTCCCGAGGGACTATTGCGCGACCGACGCGCCGTTCAGACAAATCTGCTCTCGCGCGGACCATTGAAATTCGATCATTAAGATCAGCTCGATAGCCCTCGATTCATTAAATTCGCAGGCGTCTTTTAAACGAGCGCTTTCTACATTCCTCAACCTCCAGATCGGGCAGTCGCCGACTGCGAGGACCTTCGAAATTTCAGACGGAAAAGTTTCATATTTACTAGTATACTATTTCATAATCGAGAAACAGGAGGAGAATTCTTTTAGGCAACTTAATACAACTCGATATCCCTTGATTCGTCAAATTCGCAGGCGCCTTTTAAACGAGCGCTTTCTACATTCCTCAATCTCCAGATCGAGCAGCCGCCGCCGACTGCGAGGACCTCCGAAAGGTCGCGTCGAGTGGAAAAATTTCATATATACTCATTTATTTCATAAACGAGAAGCGGGAAGAGGATTCTTTTAGACGACTTAATACGCGATTTACGTTCGATCGCATTGCCTGAGGAGGAGCCGAGAGACGATAAGTGCAGGAGGAAGAGAGAGAATGAAAATTTTCAAACGTAAGATATAAACGGCACGAGAGCGTCATACGAGACGAAAAGCGGATATGTCGTTGTTGACATATCGTTACCGCATTGTTGCGTGAGCGCGTGTACCTTTGCTCTCCGCCGTCGTGGCGGAATTCCCGCGGATTTCTGCCATACCGCGTTCCACGCCCGCGTATCCGCGGCGCTCGCACGGTCCTACGAGCGAAAGTGCTTTCCGCGGCGGATTATCGGCGCGCCGTCGCGTCGGTGGGAAAGAAGGATGGCATTCCGCGATTCCGGCCGGTCCAAACAGACTCGGTTGCTCCGGTGCTCCGCTACAGCCGGGTTCTGCGGTTTCGCGACGACGACGACGAGGCGAGGCGAGGCGAGGCGAGGCGAGGTGAGACGACCGCATGTCGGACACGTCTGACGAGATTACCCGCGAGGTATATCGGTGAGAAACGGAGATTGACGTAACTGGAGTAAACTTCGTTTCCCTAAACGTTAATTCCCCCGCGCGCGCGCACGCGACTCTGTCCGCGGCTCGTCATAGCGGCGATAGCGTATCGCCGATTCGTATTATTGGCGACGCAGTCGCAACTTTCGCTCGCGCGCGCGCGCGCGCGCGCTCGCTGCGCTTTCGACGCGAATATTTTCGCGGAGACAAGTGTATGTCCTCCGTTTCCCGCATTCTCCTCTCTCCCCCGCCCACGTACACACGGCTATACCGTATCGACTCGGTGACCGAGTTCATGCGTTATACGCACGCGGACGGGCCGCGGAGGGAATCAAAGCCGGTCGTTATCGTTTCCCGCGGAGCGATGGTCTGCGCGGTATGTCGAAGGCGTTTATGACCGCGATTACCACTCTCGAGATATATCGCTGAAATGCGAATTGACGTAACTAGAGTAGCCTTCTTTCCTTTCCTGTTAGCTCTCTCCGGACGAGCGAACGGGCGGACGGGCGACGGGCAGCCAATCGATCGATCGCGGGAACTCTGTTGACCAGCTCTCTACTTTGCTGAATCTACCGACGATCAGCTGATTGCGTCGATAGCGGCGCGAGTGGCGGATTTTTATACGATAGCCGCGAAATAACGTTCAAACGTGCTCGCTGCAAATTGCAGCGGCACGCGTTTCAGTCATAATCTCAATCCAACGAGCTGGTCCGCTGATGGATCTGCGGAGAGAACGCCGCAAGAGTAACACCTCAGAGGACACTTGCGCGACGCGCCTTTAAAATATTTTCCGCGCTCCGCTATCGATAAGTCTCGCAGCCTCGTGAGGAGAGCCGGTAGCTCCTCGTCATTTATTACGAGTTTCTAGAGACCTTTAATGGATCGCGAATGAGGACTCCGTATAGAGATAAGAACTTCCAAGAACATACATTAAGCGAACTGCGTGCGCGCGCGCGAGGGAGAGACTCCAATGCATGCGGCGGTTGAGATTTATTAGTCGCATCGGGAGAATCGTCAGCGCGGGGCTGACGACCAGGCTGAGAAAGATCACTCTATGACGAAGTAGGAAAGTATAATATACGAGATGGAGAGGCGTACCGAGAGCGCCTCGCGCTCGCCGCCGGCACTTTTCTCTTCGACTAATCGTTATGGAAAGTCCGTGGATAATATGGGACGTTGTGCACCGCGGGATCTCGTAGGATCGAAGCCGCGCGAACATCGTCCTCGTCGTCGTCGTCGTCGTCGTCGTCGTCGTCGTCGTTGCTGAAGCGAGGAAAATTATACGAGTTGGAAGCTGGGACACGGTGCGAGCTTATCATCCCCGCGAATCGAAATATATTCGAATCTTCTTCTTCGCGGACGTGTTACCCTCGAGCGATATCCGTTCCGTGTCATCGTCGGATCGCTGGATTCACGCGCGATCCGACTCCGTATATCCGAGCAAAGGACGCGTCTCTCACCGTTGATGCGTCGATCAGAGATGAGAAGGTCGCAGGAGACGCTGGGAACGTCCGCTGGGGACACCCTCCGGCGGATCCTCCGAGCCCCGTGGCGCTGGAACCATGCTGGGTCCACGCGGGGTCCTTCCGGCCTCGGACTATGACTCGGACTTTTCGGTCGTTTTGTCGAAAGTATCTCGCGGATATAATATGGGACGCCGGTGGAATCTCTCGTGGATCGATTCGGCACGTCGGCGACATTGCTGAGGAAAGGAGTGGTACACCCAGAGCGAGAGGATGGAAGAACGGTCGCTGCGCCAGTGTGAAGGAGATTGGCGAGGCCTAACGGGGAGAGAGAGAGAGAGAGAGAGAGAGAGAGAGAGAGAGAGAGAGAGACAGAGAGCGAGCGAGAGGGAGAGATAGAGAGGGGAAGAGAGAGGGAGCGAGGTGGAACGAGAAGGAACGAGGGAAAGGAGCGCGCGGGCGAACGAGACGGACGCAGGTGGTTCGAGAGGGAGAAAGACCGAGCGGGGTACGTGTGTGGCGAGCGTGCGGGTGCGAGCGAGACGGCGAGAGGGACACGGACGCGAGACGGTGTTCGTAATCAAAGGGGCAATCCGCGGCGCGGCCGCGGCGTGGAAGAAAGTCAGCCTACCGAGAGCGGCTCATCAGTCCGGCACGGTGCGGTGTCACGAATGCACGTCGAAGCATCGATTTTCCGCGTGTCGCTGCCACGTGATTCCACCCCGTTCGCCACACGCAAGTTATGCGGACGCGTTCGTTCACCGGCACCGTGCGCAGCTCACCGGCACCTACGACTGCGAAACAGCAGCACGGTCGCACCGACGTCCGCGTCCGCGGCTACGTGGACGTGTGAGACAGTGAGAGAGATCGCGCGCGCGCGAGCCGCCGTGTCGATCGAGAGAGGATCCGCGTCGATTTCGCCGGAATCACGTGTGCGATCGCGCGCGCGCACGCGCGCGCGCGGCTGCGAGTCCTCCGGGATCGTTCCGGTCCGGGTGCGGGTCACGCGCGCTTTCTTGCGCGCGCGCGCGGGAGAACGTCGAGGACGACGAGGCGAAGTGCGCGCGGGGATAAGGAGGAAAAATCGTGGATCTCCAGGATCGACCGGTGCAACGTGCTGGACCGTGGCGAGGATCGAGGGATTTTGCAATGCTCGCGAATGGCAGATGAATGGTATGTACCGGATGACGATCATCTCGCAAATTGCGAAGAAGCGCCAGAGGAGATTCCGATCAATCCGCTACGACTTTCTTGCTCTCGATCCCTTGTTCTTGCCGGATATTTGCCTGAGATTTGTGTTGGTGGTAATAAATTCATGTACTTTGGAGAAAATGCGAGGCGTTGCAAAGGCGGATGATGATACAGTTTGAGACGATGGAGCGGCACCAGGAAGACTCCGAAGAAAAAGAGAGAGAGAGAGAGAGAGAGAGAGAGAGAGAGAGAGAGAGAGAGAGAGAGGGAGAGGGAGAGAGGGAAGGACACGCTGGAGAACTGGTCAAATATCAAGCGTGTTCTTTTAATGTCACGTTATGTGAAATGTCGATTACATTAACGATGGATTTAACATTTACGCACGTCAAAATGTTATGAAATGTTTTCACCGTGGACGCTGCGCGAAATAATAAATACGACGCGCGTCATTCGGTATCAAAAGAATGTTTGTTTAATCCATTTAGCAACACTCTGCATGCACGATATGGCTTCGGTAAACGTCATAGAAATATCAAACTGTGTATGCTGTATGCTGTAATATTTCTAGTCGTTTTACTTCCAGTTCAAATAGTATACGGAATGAATGTTGAGGAATAAATATTGAAAATCGAGCAGAATCGATGCGAGCTGGCCGAAAAGTCTCTAAACGAAACGGAAAGGCAACGGCGTTTCGAGAATCTTTATATCTAAGCATCGGGGAAAGAGTTCGGGGAGAGAGAGAGAGAGTTCATTTTATATTTTCATTAATTAAGATATTTTCGTTAGTTAAGGATACGATCTTCACGTGAAAGCATATTTTAGGCATATCTTTTCAACAACGTCCGATGATTTGCAGCTGATTGTTGATTTTCCAACCGCGCGAGGTGTATCCCGTCGTGCGCAAATGATTACACATCCAATTCCGTGAAAGTACCAGCGCGTACCTATCGCGCTTCGGGTAGGAAGCGTTCGTTGCAAAAGAAATTGTTATGCATGCGCAGAATCATCGTGCTGAACGCGATTATCCGTCGATCGACGTCGATTTCAACGTCGACGCAAGCACTTTTTGAATAATCAACGAGAAATGCTTTGAGATTGAAATTATAATTTGCAATATTGTGTGCGCTGCGAGCAATACTCTAATGAGAAATAATATACTCGTCGAACAATTTATGCAAATTTCCGGGAGATCTCTACAAGGAGAAAAAAAGGAGCATGATCCGAAGCATGATAAATCTTGACGAGTCAACGACGAGTCTTCGAGACACGTTAAATTTATCCGTCGAGAATCGCCTCGCTTTTCCCCTCCTCTCGTGCCTAAAAGCCGCGCGAACTTTCCGGACGGTCCAACGTGTATCGGCGTGTTTTAGCAAACTCATTAAAAATCAGCAGGAAACACCTCCCCCCCTTCCCCATCCGCTCCTAAATGAAAGCCCGCTCGATGCTTTGGCGCTCACGCGTTTTTCCCGCGGCTAAAGTGTCTGCCCCGGCAAATATATGCGTTCCCATGCGTGCGATACGGTGACACGTAAATCGGCGCTATTGTGCGCGCGGTGAGCGCAGGTCACCGCGACGGCGACGACGGCGGCGACGACGACGACGACGACGACGACAACGAAATTGAATACCGTTTCCCCAGGACGGCTGGAACGCGACTAGATGAAAAATAATGAATGGAGCGCGTTGTCAAAATCCGCGGAGCGTGTCGGCGAGCGGCCGTTGTTGCATAACGCGCGTTGCGTTGCGCGCGGCGTCGCTTATGGCTGGGAAAATACGGAATTCCGAAGGCGCAAGTCCCATTTAGCCGAGCCGAGCGCGAGCATTTCCGCGCGTAACAGTCGAGCGCGGGTTACGTTCGAACGGCCGTCCGCGCGGCCCTCCTTAGACAATGCAATTTCTATCCGTTGAGACATTCTGCCCCCGACGACACGCGTCTAATTACTTTGATTATCCGTTTAATATCACTGCGCGGAATGATTCGTACCTTAGACCTTATTCGAACCCCTCTCTCTCCGTCTCGGCGGCTCCGGCGGCTCACGTGCTTTCCACTCATTATCCATCGGGGACTGTAGCCATGGGTGGCTGTATAATAGTTACAGTTATATGCAAATGCTTTCCCACGCGCGAGCGAGTGGAATGTACTAATTAGAAAAAGAAAGCGCAACTCACTTCACGCCCGTGTGTGTAGGTACGCGCGCGCGCGCGTGTGTGTGTGTGTGTGTCCCTTTCATAAATTTACCTTTACGAGGTGTCGAGCGTGCGAGGAGGCATTGCCTTATGGGACAAACGTCTCGAGAACGTGCGAGAGTTAAGCGGAGCGATGGATTAATAAAGTGACGTCAGCGGCGCGCGAAGCCCGATTCGTTGGGCGCGCGGGTTCGAAAATCGCGAGGCGGCTCGGCCTCGCGAATATTTTTACGAGGTTTCGGTGCCCATACACGGGACGGAGCAACACGCCGCGTATCGAGAATGTGGCGATGTGGCGGCCTGCGGCTACGAATTCCGTTACACGCACTTGTACGGCTCCTCTCGGATACCTCCCTACGCGCTGCCCACGACGAAACCTTTACGCTCCATCTGCCGCTCGGCCGGCCGGCTGATTGAACGAATCTTCGTCGACGGTGACGTCGAAGGTATCGATCAAACGCATCGACGGACCAGCGAATGCAACTGTTACGTTGTCGCGCGCACGGTTATTGTCGTCGCGCCACGGACGGAATGACGTTTCGCAAAGCGCGCGCGCGACCAACGGTCCTCCCTCGCGCGCGATCGCGCGCGTATTTCGTGAAAAAATCAGTCAACTCACGCTCTTCCGACGAGGAAACTAATTTTAGACCGTACAACGTAACGCGGCGACTCATCGTCGTCGCGCTCGATTACTCGCGCCGATCGCTCGGCTGGAACTCGCCTCGGGAATCCCTCGCCGTGCGATTACATATTTCCGCGCTTCGCTACGAATACTGTTATTCAAACAGGCGCGAGGTACGCGGCTTTTTTTTCGACAGCGGATGATTTACATTCGCGCGCAGCGGATTATTCGTGTACTCCGACGAAGCGGGATTCGCGAAGCGAGCGAAGCCGCGTCCGAGCGAGTACGTGACGATTCGAATTTGCATCGCGGCGCCGCGCCGCCGCTGCAAATTTTTCACGCGGAAAGATCGCCTCCGAACGAAAAGATTTCACATACGGCGGTGTAGGAGGAGGAGGAGGAGGAAGAAGGGAAGAGGGATTCCCGTATCTCAAGTACATCTTAAATATGACGATAAGTCGGAGGGAGCCTCCGCGATCAGCTGATTGCTCGACAGTGACCCTCGGGTCAATCTACTTTCTACTTCTCTCACATTCTGGCGAGATCAGAGGTGATGCAGCGCGACGGGAGGCTGCGCGCACGGTGCGCGCCTTCGAGTGGAAGCGGACATACTTTCACGCGACGGACGGTATACATATCGTGAAATTATCGGGACGCTGATGAGTGAAAACGGATGGAGGCAGCGCGCGCGCGCGCGCGCGCGCGCGCGTTGTTCAGCTGCCCCGCGGCAGAAAAATACGCGGGGAGATTTATCGGCCGGGATACTCTCGGGGAGAGTACGCGGTCACGCGGAGGAATGTTTATACGACAACTCCCGGCGCTCGCGAGGAGCGCTACGTGAGAAATTCAGCTTCGCAATTTGCCTGTCGCCGCGTCGCGCGCTCAATACTACGCTACTCTCGCGAGACGTGAGAAAATAACCGCGGATTTGAAAGTCCCGCGAGCTCTTCCGGCCATTCCTGTCCTTTAACGCACCGAGTCTGACTCGAGCCGTCAGTTTGGCAGCTCGCCCGGAGAATAAAGGAAGAAACAAATCGCGCGCTGTGTTTCCTCGAGGAACTTGCCGAACCGGTGCGCGATGAGTTGGAATGAGACAGAATGTCGTCCCTCACTCTGACTCGTTGCGGCGTGTAGCGGTTGAGGAGATTTTCCGAGGAGGAACAAATCTACAAGCGTGATTTCCGAGACACCTGCCGCGAAGGATAACGCAGCGAAGGTCAATCGTCGGCGAAGCAAATGTCAAGCACAGGAGAAAACGCTCGCGGACGGAGCGCTCGGTCGGCCCCGCGAAGTGCCTCGCGCGTCGCGGTGTAATTCATAATAACGCGTGCTCGGTTTTGCGTTGAATCCGCGCAGACGGTTGGTCCGTGCGGTCCGTTATCTATCTGTAATAGTACAAACGGCGAGACGAGCGGCAAGTGCATGAAAGTCCCGCGAGTTAAGTTGGTCACGCGACTCTTGCGTCTCTGTGTGGTTAAGATCGCTTAATGGCCGTCCGCGATCCTCGGCGCGATGTGACACGTTTCGCCGGCATCCGACGATTGCTCCTGCATCGCGGATGATGCATACGGCTAGGAAATAGCGGCGGATCAGAAGAAACGTAGGAAATTCCCTCACGCGGCTCCTTCGCCTTTACCGTCACTCGCGCCGGAAGCCGTCCGCGCATCGGCGACCGTCTCGTCGCTTTTCCGCGTTTGCGCGAATATTTGCACAGAGCACAGAGAGAGAGAGAGAGAGAGAGAGAGAGAGAGAGAGAGAGAGAGAGAGACTGGTTGAATTCACTCGGCAATGAGCGGACAACAAACACGTCTCAGTTGGAGGGAGTAGAGTTTTTGCCTTGATTCCGACCGAAATGCGCCTGGCTCGATCGTGTCTTCGCGTTGATCGAACGACATTTTTCCCTCTTCGTGTACGATACAGATTAAACGGAGCTCCTCTCGAGGGCTCGGGAGGGCCCCGATGAGAACCTGCTGCCCGGTTACGCCACGGTGCGCCAATCGTCTGCAACGATTTGACTTGTTTTCAGGGAGTGGCTAGCATTCCGGAGCATAAAGATCAACGGGCTTGGCATGAATTAAGACCAACTCGGAAAATGGACGTCGCCAAGGGCACAACGGAGGAGTTCGTGACGGTGGTCAGCGTCGGCAGCCAGCCGACATCGGAGAATTTCGTGACCGTTCTGTCGATCGGCAATGGCAGGAAGGAAGACGAGGACTCGTCGCCGACGGCGGGCAAGAGCCTGGTGAACGGCGTGGACGGTCACGTGGAGGAGGAAGTCGAGGTGTTCAGGTTACCCGGCGAGCGCCTCGGCTTCGGACTCAAGTTCGAGGGCGGTAACAAAACGTCCGAGAGGGTCAGGAGACTGTTCGTGCAGAGCTGCGCCGAGCAGAGTCCCGCTAGCAGAGCGAAGTGTTCATGGGGCACCTTGGGCGAGGGGGACGAGGTGAGAGAGGCCGCGGATACGTATACGCCGGAGAGCCCCGGAAGCGCGTTTTCGATATATTTTCCTTCATTCACTTACTTATTTATGTCTGAAGTTGATTTATTTCGCCGGAAACGAGAAATTCTCTTGCCGGGCGAGCGCGCGCGCGCGCGCGTGCGCCACCTTGCCTCTCCATAAATCTTCTTTCTACCGCGATAACGCGCTTTCGCTGAAACATTTTGTGCGGTAACGCGCACGCGCGCACGCGAGTGCTAAATGTGCAAGAAAGTAACGTTCGTGAACATGTATGATTTCATTAATCTTAACGGTACGTGAAATCCCCTCCCTCCCCCGCTACGTCGCCGCGCGTCGTACGTGTCGCTTTCATTACGGAGCCGACAGGTTTCATCTGTGCGCGGCGGATAAAGATCACAATGGCTGAGCGCAGTGGATGCCTACCGGTGCTTCAATGTTGCTATAATGAATGACGCGCAATTATCTGCGCGCGTCGAGCCGCAACGCTCTCTTGCATCTGCGTGGCGTAATTTCAGCGCGGCTTGAATGAACGGGAGAGAGACGGAGGCACAGTAGAAATCCTTACCGCCTCTCAGAATTCAGTACACGAGCGACGGCGTGCGGTCCGATATATCCGCCGAGGAAAAATCCACTCCGCGCCGGACGCGCCCCGACGAGCTTATCGCCGGAATGAAGGTCGCGATTTGTGAAACGGCCCCCCCTCCCCCGCGTGTGTCACACATGTCTTCTCCTTCTTTCCTTCTTCCTCTTCTTTTCTTTTCGCGGACGCGCCGAAGGCGCGCACTCTCTTTTTCAGCTCCCACGGTCGCGCCGCGTAGTCTAGGATTTTCAAGACCCACTTCCTGCGTTATGATTCCCAAGAGAGGTTTCCTCTGTCGCCTCTCGCTTGTTTACGTCGCAAATTACGGCGGACCCGCGATAAGCAAACCCGACACGCGGCCTCCCCGTGCTCGATAATCAACGGCCCGTCTCTCTTCCAGGTACTCTCGATCGACGGTATACCCGTGACGCACATGACCCGGTTGGATTGCGTGAGGAGGCTGAAGGAGTCGCAGTTGGTCATCAGACTGATGGTGAGATGTCGCGGGGCCCTGCGGCCGGAAGTGGTGAGCGCCGAGAGGAAAATGTCGACGGAGAAGAGCAAGGTGCCGCCGGAATTGCCCGCGGCGCCTCCGCCTGTGCCGCCGAGGAAGCTGAGGCAGCCGCGAGGATCGGCGGACGGCGAGGCGAATCCCAGTCCTGTGAAGAAATCCTGGGACAGCCCGAGGTCGCAGAACCCGTCGCTCAATGGCTCGCAGAACGGCTCGCAAAACGGCTCGCCGGCTTCTCAGGCCGGTCTGCATTGCGTGCTGAAGAGCAGCTCGTACGAGAGTTGCGAGTCCTCGCCGAGAAGCGTCAACGCGTCGAGTCAGGAGAGTCCAAAGGGGTCGCCGAAGGACCGTTCGCCGGAGCTGGCGAAGTCGAAGCAGGTAGTTCGATCAGAGTGCGCGCTCGAGAGAGCGAACAGATTCGAAAGTACGTAAATCGCGAGTTAATCGGAGATTAAAGATCTGCAGCCTAGAAATTGAGCTGAACGAAGATGTTGCAATTGCTATATTAAGCGAAGAGAAGAATGTATTGTTAACCCGTAACTGCTGTTCACCGGTCAAATTGACCGGTAGGAAACGGAATTGATGAATATCTTGACCTAAATAACACGACCACACAACTGCGCGTATATCAGTCGACTGACATTCAGAATGCAAGAAAATACACTGACGGATGAATACGCAACTAGAAAATTAACCGCGTTATTTAAATTTCAAATAGTGCAACGGTCAAATTGGCCGGAGAATAGCAGTTACGGGTTAAGTAGAAGAATCTTCCGGTGAGATACCAACGATGCGGAAGGGTGCCGCTTAAAGTCACCGGAATTTAGCCGAAATTATCCAGATGTCCTTGGCTAACTTGAACAAAATTCTGCCATTTTCAACCGCGGAATCTTCGAGTCGTTCAAATTTCACCGGGATATCGCTTCACTCAATCGAACATTTTGCCCGTGCATATTACGAAAAATAATTATGCTATAAAATAAATAAACGAATAAACAAACGTTTCTTCCCTCAGGAACCGCCAGAAGCGATGGTTTATCTGGACGCGAGGTCGCAGTGCGGCTCGACGCACGGCAGCACGTCCGACGACACCGGCAGCTCAATGTCCACCGTGGTCGACAGATTCTCGACGTCCGACCGCGTCTCGACCATCTCCACGGCGTCCACGGCGTCGACCGCGTCCGAGCAGCCGAGCGAATTTTCGGGCATTGATCGAGACCTGGATCGATCGTCCGACCGAGACGTGCTGCTGTCGCGAGCGATCTGCCCGCTGGAGCACCTCGAGCGGGACTTCCCCGCGAACCCGCCCGACTACCTGCTCCGTCGCCTGGCCAACTCCGAGGCGGTGACGCACGTGGAGTCGCGGGGCGAGGTCGAGAGAATCACGGCGGTGGTCGCGCCGAACACGGTGCTGATCGAGGAGACCATCACCCTGCAGCCGCCGCTCAGCTTCCAGGATGCCCCGCTGAGTTACGGGCACGAAGCTCGGCCGGACCTCTTCTACACGGCCGATCTCGCGGCCGACTCAACCACGCATTTCAGGCCGATTAAGGACGATGAGGAGCTCGTGGAGCGCGTCAACGGCAACGGCCACGAAGAATGTCGCGAGACGAGCTGCGTCAGCAGCGCGGAGGCGCAGCGCGAGAGAAGCAACGCCGACAGGTTGCCGACGTCCACGTCCACGTCGTCGTCGTCGTCGTCGTCGTCGCCGCCGCCGTTGCCGGCTAGAAATCACGTGAACAGGATCTGCGTGAACCAGTCGTCGAGCGAACACGCGAGCGAGACGCGTTCCCCGCGCGTCTCCGCGACAGTCCCCGTCTCGCCTGAGAAGGAACCTCCGGACGCTCCTCTGTTACCGCCGAAACCGTTGCCGAGGAAGGACGTTAAGGCCAGACGGAAGAGGCCACCCCCGCCGCCGCCACCGCCGACCATAGCACCGCGAAAGGAGGCAAAGCCTTCGGCCGAGTCGAACCATGTGATGGACAAAGAGAACAGAGATCTTTCGCAGAACGAAAACACGGAGTTCGTTCAGTCGGGATCGTGCGACTCGTCGCCGAGCAAAAACAACGACGAAAGGAGCCGAGGAATCGAGAATCCAAGTGCACGCGAGAACCTGGACGTAGAAGCTGCGGTGAAGAGCGTCGATAACGGAGCAAATGCTGCGGGAGAAGGCGAGCGAACCAATAAAGTCTTGGAAATTATCGAGATCAGGATGGCCAAAGCTTTGCAGTCCGCTCAGAAGGAACAGGTGGCTAGGAGCGAGTCGAACAGTGCGTCCGAAGCAGTGAATAATTGCGAACGAACGGCTCCTGCGAGGCAAGTTGGAGTCAAAGACGAGGTGATTGGCGAGAACAATCAGGACCAGACGCAGTCTGCGAGTCCTTCGAGCAGAATTCCGACGGAGCGTCAGAATTCGACGAGTGTAGAATCGTCTGAAGTGCGAGCCGACGAGAACGACGATGAGGAAAACTATACAGATTCTGAAAGAAGCTACGAGGAGAAAAACAGAGCAAATACGCGAGAAGTTGTCAAAGAGGGATTTCCGTCCATCGGAGAGATCGACAATCCTGCGCTGCGGGAGAGCGAGGACGACGAAACTTACCGATCGCTGGACGAGGTGAACGACGACATGAAAAGTCCGGAGATGAACCGAATGCTGGAGGACGAGGAGGAGGAGGAGGAGGAGGAGGAGGAAGAGGAGGAGGACACAAGCGACGAGAGCGAGGATGGCGATTATTATTGGCAGAGCAATTTAGCTACCATCGGCGAAGAAGAGGAAACCAACTCCTTGGAATACATGAATGCGTAAGTTGATAATTACATACTAAAATCGCAACCCATCAAATCACGCGTAAGTAAGAAGTAACCGGCTTACCAAGTTTAAAGCAAGTTCAAGCAAACGAGAGAAGCAGAATCAAGAGAAAAGTATAAGATGGCGATGGTTTCATTCATGGCCATCTATTACGTTATCTTGATATTTCTCATCGAGCAAATTATCGCGTGTTACTTTCGATAGTTTCGAATATTCGACAAATATTAATCCTTGAAAGCTACCACCAAATATCACCCCGAGTTAACTTTTCTCGTTACGTTTATAGCAAGGTAAGGTATCATAATGTTGTCGCTACTGATAATAATAAATAAATATCTACAAAATCAATACTGTCAACTGTGCGGTTGTGTTTTAATAAGACCAAAAATTCGCACGTGGTGAAATTTCACCCATGTTAGCCCCATGTTAGCTAGGGTTAATTATATTTTGCAAACAAGAGTTGCGAAGAAGAGAACTGCATGTTGATATGCGTTTCAATACGTAGCGATTATAGCGATCATGTACAATTAAACAGAACGGCCTCCCGCTTAGCTTGAATGAAGTATACTGGTTGCGAAATGAGTCGCTAGAAATTGTCTTGAGAAATGAATTACTATGGAACTTGCTAATGCAACGCGCGCGCGCGCGTTCGCGTAAATGAACTTTGAAAAGAAATTAATTCACTTTCTTTATGGATATGGGGTACCTGCCCCGCGCGGCATATGGAGAAAAGGTTAATTGACCGTTCTGAGAATAGGAAAGAGGGCTGTCGATTACTGGGAATCGAACAGTCGGTCGGCCGTTCGAGTCGATCGTCCCACGAGGTGAACGCCTCCATGCAAATGCTCGACATTTGCTTGTTGCTTCGAGAAGCAATCTCTCCTTCTTTGCATGACGCTGCAATCGTCTCTTCTAAACTATCCCAACAACCGTTGTCGTTTAATGGAGCCGGCGATGGTAATTCGACGGACGTTGAGAGAGTTAAGCGAGTTTTTACCGAGCTCTATAACGTTAGTCGTCAAATTTCGAAATGTTCGCTGCGCGAATATCATTCGAGCGCAAAGTTCGCCGCAAAGAAAGGAGAGAAAAATCTGATCTTCTCTTACCTGCTTGCAGCAACACGGACGCGGATGACCCTAGCAAGTCGTCGATGGTGTCGGAAGAATCGTCGCTTACAATCAAGAAGGATACGTTCGTTAAAGCCGGTAAGTCCGTTTAGTGCGCTAATTAAGCGTTAATTACTCTCTAAAATACGGCTTAAGTGAATGAGAAGCGCAATTTATCCAATTAAAGCAAGAATGCGAGGTCAGCGCGGAACGATTAGAGAGCCGCGCGCGTTCGCCAACAGCGGAACGCAACAAATCAGGCATTTGCCTCCATTAAGACGAACTGCGTAAAAAAGTTAGCGCCGTCGCTGCAATCGCCGCGACCTTGATCGATTAATTGATCGGATTCACCTCGCGTATATAGTCTACATGCAAGCGCTCGCCGGCTTTCTTGCCCCGCGGATCTCTCTCCACGTGAGCCGCGTGAGAACCGTCGTGGAGAGAAAAAAGACAAGAGAAAAACGGAAAAAGAGGAGGAAACTTCTGAAAGACGACGCACAGCCGGATCTCGGGGACACCCGGTATACACGCCCACGCTACCGTAGCACGCCGCGTCGAGCTTCGTAAAGGTTACGCATTAATCACCTTGCGTTACGCGCCCATACAGTTCTCCGGTTTCGCGCGCGCGCGCGCGGGCGCGAGTACCTACATTCAAAACGGAGGCAGGTCGAATCGAGACAAAGGCGTGTAGCGGCGCGCCTTCTCCTCCTCCTCGGCGGGAGAAATTCTTATTCACCGACGTGCATACCAGTATTTTCGCGCGGATGACTCGACGTTCGCGCGTTTCCTCTTCGCGGCCTCTCGAATACACGCGCGCGCGCGTAACACTTGGCGGCGGACACGCCGATGCACGCACGAGAGACGGCCGTAATACGTACACAAAGAACACGCGGAATCGAGACGTCGTCTTTCGGACGCCTGTGTGTTGTCGGAGTGTCCGTGGCCGTCTCGTAATTTACCTGCGGCCGATCGCCACGTCCGGAAACGTCTCCGTAATTTTCCGCGGCCGTTGCGAGCATTTATCCTCAATGAGACGTACGCGTGAAATACGCGCGTCCCTCCGCGCGGCGGAAGAGGGACGCGTTATCCCACGCAAAAATGGCCGCGTCTCCTCGCCTATGTGGATCGATGATTGATCGATCGGAGCGGCGATCCCGCCGCGTAAACGCGTTCCGCCGGAAATCGAACGTCGCGCCGGCGATAACAATAATTCACGCGCTCTTTCTCGCTCTCTCTCTCTCTCTCTCTCTCTCTCTCTCTCTCTCTCTCTCTCTCTCTCTCTCTCTCTCTCTCTCTCTCTCTCTCTCTCCCTCTCTCTCTCTCTCTCTGTTTTTGCGCTTGCTTTGAAATATGTTATCAGGAGCAACGATGCGATCCACACATCATCTTCCCCGCGCGCATTCCCTTTTTGCGCCTTTTCCTTTCTTTCATCACGAGGAGGAATAGCGAACGCGCACGCGCGTCCGGGGAACAAAGCGCGCTCGACGTAATGCGAGAAATTACGCGCGGACTGGGATAACAGGGAAATGATAATGAGCGTCCGTATAATAATTAATTCGCGCGGTGCTTCTCTCAGAGACGTATCGATCACGCACTCGCGTCGAGTACCGTAACATTAGAAGCGGCGTGTAATTTTCTAATGACGAGTCTTCATTTCCCGCGCGATGTCGACATCGTCTTTAACCCGTTTCCTCTGTCTTGCTTTCCGTTTTCTCTCCTCTCTCTCCCTCCCTCCCTTTCTCTCTCTCTCTCTCTCTCTCTCTCTCTCTCTCTCTCTCTCTCTCTCTCTCTCTCTCTCTCTCTCTCTCTCTCTCTCTCTCTTTCTCTCCCCCATCTACTCGCAACGCGAACACTGCGATACCTGAAGCGAATCGCGCGATAAGGAGTATATCGGCGGAGATCTCCGGCGAGAGATCAGTGACTCTGCCATGGCCGGGCGCTTTGTAAAGCGGGAAATAAGGAAATTCCGTCGGCGCGGTCTCTAATCGGCGCCGCGCGCGCGCGCGCGAACGTGGATTCCCGGGCCGCCAGGTGGGTGTGAGAACAAAACCGTTAAGAATAATTCGAGAATCGCGGCTCTCCGTGGCGATCGGAGGCGGGATGCTCGCAGGCTCGCACTCGGCTTCTCGCCGGCGCTAACGAACAGCCGAAGCTGCCGGAGGTTCATATTAAACGCGAAACTTTACGGTCAGGCGCCTCGCGCCTCTCGCTCGACGCTCAACCGCGCACGATCATTTTTCCAACGTGGCCCCGACGACGTTCATTCCTCAACCCCGTTAAATATGAAGTCGTAAAAATTCCCACGGCGTCCATTACACCCACCGTTTCGCCGCGATAGTACTCCGGAGAGTACTCCGAGGAGGCACGTCCGAGAGAGAGAGAGAGAGAGAGAGAGAGAGAGAGAGAATTGCGTCATTCCGCGTCGCGCCTCGAGCTACTTTTATCTTCGCGCCTGTCGCGCGTGCGGACGCGAACAGAGGATTCGGAGGTGATATAATACGTCGCGCCTCGGCGGATAACCGCCGAGCGGGCAGCTCATAAATTGTCCGCGAGATTAGTCTCCGCCGCGGCCGGCTTGACAAAGTCGAATCGGCCGGCCGGGCCGCCTCCGCGCGGATGTGCGCGAGGCTTCTAAACGATCGAACGGTAAGACGCAGCGCCGTCGCTCCTAAGTCGACGATTTCCTAAGTCGCCCGTTAATTAGCGCGCGCGCGTCTCACGTTGTTTCGCGGCGCGTTTACGATCGATTCGAACGAGCGATCGAGGCGCGCGTTATAAAGGCGCGTGACGGCCGCGATCAGGCGTCCGGGGCAAAGCTTGACTAGTCACAACAATATGGCGGTACACGGGCCCAACGGCAGTCCTGCGCGCTCCAGCCTCCGTCGAAGCTCTTCCAGTGGCTGACCGCGCTCAAGGTCCCCATTCCCCCTTAATCGCCTTCCTTTTCGAGATCTTTCACTTGGTTCCAATCGAAGAGACGGCGATCTCTGACGCATACTTACGCACTGACGCGTGTTGTACGCGCGCCCGTAGAAGAGACGGCATTCCAACACGCGCGCGAGCGCGCGCCGGCACGAGCCCTGCGAGCACTCGCTCGTCGGTGTATACTGACCCAAAGATAACAAACGTCATCTCTCTCTCTCTCTCTCTCTCTCTCTCGGTCGGCCGGCACCTATAGAAATCTATTGCTAGATCAGGTACCGATCTCGCCGGATCTCTCCTCTCCCCTTCGCTACTCTCTCCCTCTTTCGAGATAGCGCTCTCTCGTGTCTCGCCGAGGCCACCAGAGTCCCGCCTCGATGTCAGCCTCGACGTGGACGTTTTATTTCGTGTTATCGCTTTGTAGCTCGTTATTCGCCACGAAATAGCTCTCTGTCGGTTATACCTTGGGAACGACATGGCAGATGTATACATGCCCCTAGTGAATTCGAGAGCTTGATCAAACGGCCGGATCGTGCGGCCGATGAGTCGAAGAAGGATGACGACACGATTCTCCCAGGTGGGTCCAGCTTTCGCGAGTCCCCTCGAAGTCTCTTCGAAGTCTCGAGGCTTCGCCGGAAGATGAAGAGTGACGATCGTTAGCGTAACGCGCGCGGCTACCGTCGTGGCCGCGATCTTTGTTAGGAAGCGTTGATCAGCGGAAGGGCGGTAGCTCGATGACCGACGTTGCGCGGTTGCGCGCGGCGGAAAGATGCACGAACGAAAAGCGCATTCCGCAAGTCCAGTCCATGTGATTCATGCGGCTATCAGCGAGAGGCTTCGTTAAGGGGCTTCGACCTTTCCCGAGCGATCCGACCCACCCGGGTTTCAATTTGCGACTGCGCAGGGCGACGATTAGTCTTGACCTCTCGAGACCAGCTCTCCCGTGTCGGAATAATTAGTAGAATAATCGATCGCGGGGGTTTTTTCCTCTTTCCATTGAACATCGACACGCACAGTTCCTCCGGGCCGTCTCCGCTTTACGCGGACTCTACAACTCGGATGGAGCAGCCTTGAAATTGTGTTCGCGTGAGACGTCAATTTCAATCTACGATCATAACCGATCGTAATCTCGGTCCATATAGAAAATGATTCGCCATTCAGAAGTCAACGGAACACTCGCGGGTACGCGCAAGCAGGCGAGAAAGAAGGGAAGAAAAAGGCAACGCACCGGCAGATTTATCAGGAATAACGGCGCCTCAGAGCGGGAAACGTTTAGAAAGTTTCCGAGTACAACAAAGTGACGCCAAGTTCTCTAGAGATCTTTCCCGCTCTCGAGGTTCACGCGTTCAAGATGTGATTTTTCAGATTTCGGGCAGCGCCGGGGCGCGACTCTCTCGAGAGGCCTTTTCGAGCTCGCTTTTCCGCTGCGCGCTGCGAGCAGAGAAAACCGCGCGAACGTGAAGGGGGAACGCAATTAGTTCCGAAATATTCAGCGTCCGCTCGAGGTAACAAGCGATATTATCGAACACTCGCGATCGCGTCGTGCAGAAAAACTAGGCCACGTTTTGTCACGCTCGCGCTCGCGCTCGCGCTCGCGCTCGCGCTGAAAGAGTCGCGCCCGATCTCGCGCCGGCAAAGCGCGCTTAATGCATCCGATCGAACGAGCTGCATTCCATTGCGCCAGCTTCGAACGGTGCACGCAGTAAACCCGCCTAAAGATGACTCGCCCCGTTCAAGACCGACCGGTATCAACGAATTCAACAAAGTGTTTCGCGGCCGTTGAACGAGAGATTACGAGCGGCGCTGGAAATGGAAACACGTTCGCCAACCGTGAATTACGTTACGCGTGTTTATTAGAGGCGGAGGATAGGTATTATATCCTAGATCGGATCTCACGCGCGAACCGCGCACGACCGCCTGAGAAAATCGACACGAAAAGATGTGTACTATTGATGTGTATTGTTGTTCGTTTGGCATGAGAAAGAAAGGGGAGTGGGGGGAGACGAGAGAGAGAGAGAGAGAGAGAGAGGAGAGCGGGAGAGACGAGGATATGTCTCGTTCGGCGAGTCGGGTCAGCCGAGATTGAGAGCATCCACTATATTGCCTACGTAGGTATATATCGAATACGTAAGATCCGCGGGACGACATTCCGTTGCGGCAACCCGGAAGCGCTCCGC